AATATATAACGTGCAAATAACGAAATTCAAAGGCATTGAAAGATAAAATTATTGCACAGTCTGATGGACATGCTCGGCATGAAATAATACCAGTAAAAAGGCATCAGATCAAATAGAAAACTGATGCTCAGTGAACATAATGGTGTTTTATGCAGTCAAGTGAGGTGGAGTATGGTGAAATTACACACTTTAGCTCAAATATTATATTGAGCGGACCCCACAAAATTCTAGTGTGTTTAAGGGATTATGTACACCAAATCATGTACAAACTCTAGTGTATGTAAGGGATTATGTACACCAAATCATGTACAAGTCAAGTTGTCAAAAATAAAATGCAGAACTTGCGTGAAAATAAAAATCAACTCACCAATTTGCATAGATGATGCTCCCATATATGATTCCATTTAAATCTTGAAGTCTTTCTTTCGCTTCCGCAAACCAATTCTCGGCAGCTCTTTTACAAATATCAGAATGAGATTTTAGAGGAAGAAAGCCATAGATGGAATATTTAAAGCATTCAGATACACAAGGACAGTTCAATAATCATTATTAAAATCTAAAAAATAATGAATTAGATTAGATAAGGAGCACCTCTATGTAATAAAGGTTTAAAACTCAAATCAATATGTAGAAGTAACAAAGAAATAGAAGAAAAGGTTCAACATTGCAGTAAGCTCATTTCAATCTGCTATGTTTCACTATTCAGAGTTGCAGTTGAAAACCACATCTCCATGTATACAGTTCAAAAACGATCAAGTAAAAAGGCTGTGAATCAATTGGCATTTTGTTAGGCATATCAACTTGGTCCGACAAGTAAAGTTTCCTTGATCTGTACCCTGGAAGCTCATGTTACACTAAAATGTGCCTAAACTTCAGCATTTTATTTCCATAAGTTCCATTAATTTCCTTCTCCCACAGTAATGTATTCTGAAGTATACAAAAGATACAAACACAACCATAATTTGGGAGAGCACTAAAATAAAGTCTTAATAATGTAGACAATCAGATACCTCAACACAAGTTAAAGCAACACTAGGTTAAAAAAACAGAGTGAGAAAGAGGATAAGTTATCAGAACAGATACTTGCATGTTCCTTGACAACAAATGGAACTACAGTCACCAAAAATAGTTAAAAAGTGCATGCGAAATAGTCTGAGATTACTTACTCAGCATTCCCAGTTTTTGCAAATCCCCCAACAAGAATGCTGTATGTAACTAAACTCATTTCTATTCCCTCATCTCTCATCTTCCTAACACATGACAGTGCATCTTCCATGTCTCTTGCCACTGCATAAGCATGAATGAGGCTGCACGATGAATATATTCATAAGTATACAGTGCAACTTGATTCATTAACACAAGTGTCGAGTATGAAAATATACACTGAGATTTGATAATCAACAAATGCATGGGGAAGTCCTACTAGAGTAGTTCATAAGCACAAAAAGATATATAAATTATTGGAATACCACATGTGAGTTGTCCCACATTAAATAGAGAAATTATAGGCCTAGCTTATAAGCTAGTGAGCTACTCTTCATATCACCAATTGGTTTTGGGATGGAATTACTTAGGTGCACCAAGGCTCACCCTCTAATGGTGTGCTTAAAGTCCATGGGACCACACCCCTTCTCTCAAATATATAAATCTAACATAAATAATATAAAGATTTTATTTGATGGTATAAAACATTGATAAACTTCACTGTCTACTGACTGTAGTTTTACGTTACAGGAATACCATTGCACTCAAAGTGAGTCATAAAAGAAGACAAAATAATATTAATAATTACTTTGTATATACGTGTAATGTTGGTTCTATTCCCCGAGCCCGCATCTTCTCAAATGTTTCACGTGCACGATGCACGTCTCCTCTCCTTCCATAATAGTTCACCATCAAACCAAACTCTCTTCTGGAAGGCTACAAAAAGAACAAAATTGCTAATTGCAAATAACTAAATGGAGAACAACAGAGAAGAACGCCCTGGTTTTATTTTGACAATAGCTTCCACTTGTTATGCCACCATATAATCCATATACATATAAGGGACATGATCAATATAAAAAAAAAAAAAAAAAATGCACATCAATATATATTAAATTAACATTATATAGAATAAATTAAGATCAATACATATGAAACATCAGTTAGAACTACGAAAAATAATTCAATGTCTAGATATGTTGCATGATAAATAAGTTAACATCCCAACTGAAGTACATCATACAGGAACTAAAACTACATTACTTGTGAATGAAGGTCTATATTGCAAGGTAGATTCGGCTCTGTGATACAATTGACAGGAGAAAGTGTTCTAGGATAAAGGCAGCTCAGCATACTTATATTTAGACAAGGGTTTTGTACAGTATATAAATTCCAATCTCTTAGCACATAAGAGTATGGCTTTACTTTCCCTTGGACGCGTGCTCATTCATTATTCTAAAGTGTAACTAGTGCAGCATGAATGTGCTTGACTTGGCATTTATCAACTTGAAAAACAAAACTTAAGTCCTATGTACTATGATGATGCATTGGAGTTCACCCACAGTTAGAAAATGCACTAATGTTACACGGCAGCAGCTCTATATGTTCACTCAACCTCACTTATACGCACATATTATTACCAAACACCAAACCTTGTTAATCCTTTCAAAAGCTCGTACGACCGCCTGCCAATTCTCCGGTTGAGATTCCAGAATCTTTCGGAACTCATTCCGCGAACCTTCCCTTTCTTCATGCCAATTAGACCTGTAATCTCCTCTCTCCTCATCTTTGCCCTCCAACCACCTTGCCCTCTCACCGTGTTTTCCCTTCAATCTATTGCCGTTATCCAACTTCACAGTTAGAAGTCTCCCATGAAACTCCACTCCATCAAACTCAACAGCTTTCATTGCAGACACCTCAGCAGTATCCCCACTGTATATCACAAACCCAAATCCCATATTCCTCTGGACATCATCATGGCCCTTTATCAGAACCACACTCTTTATTGGCCCAAACTGCCTGAAAAACTCGACCACCTCATGCTTCTTAATCCACAGTGGTAAATTACCCACAAATATCTTGCCTTTCTCCCTGAACTCCATTTCTTTTTCTTTTTCATCCGATTCCTCTGAGATCTTATCTTCCGCATCATTTTTCTGGTGAAACTTTTCCAATAGAGTACCGGGTGGAATTGGGGGCGGAGGCGTGAGTTTGCTGGACAGCCATAGCTTATTACTCAGAGTATCATGGGATGATGAACTGGTGATAGGGAGGCTATTTTTGGAATCGACGAGTTTCTTGAGGGGATTGTCTGATAGTTTAGAGGAGCGAGAAGAAGAGGTTTTTAGAGACTTGTGAGTGGTGGGGCGGCGGAGGCCGCCGGTGGAGCTGGTGGGTTTCTGAACAAAATCATTTGACGAGTCCGAGGCGAGAATGACAGAGGTCACGGACGTGCTGCCGATGCCGTAATTTTGTTTTCCGGTGAGGTTGAAGGTTGTCCGAGCGTGAGGATAGTGAACGGAGGAGATGGACATATCCATTCTCTGAGATAGTTATCGTGTTCCTGCAAGATGACATCGAGAATTGCATCATTAGTCCCATGTGATTTATCGAATTGTAATATTAGTGGTATTCAATACAACTTTAAAAACTAAAAAAGAATATGGCCTTGTTTGGTAATCAGCGGTTAGCTGATAGCTGATTGCATTTGCTGTTTTGACTAGCGGATAGTTTGATTAGATGATTGTGTTAGCGGTTTGTAAAAGAGTGTTTGGTAGGATTAGCTATTTTTAATTAGCTGTTAACATGCAAAATTACTTATAAGGACATCAATATAATTTATCGTTATCATTTATGTTGAACTTTTAATTATATAGGAAATAAAAATAATTAATATTTTAAATATTTATTAAAGTGATTTAAAATATAATAAAAATATAAATAATAATAAAACAAAAATATTTCTTGATTGAGTAAATAAGTTCACGTCCTATAAACAAAACTAATAACAAGTCATCACTATTTAAAAAAATAAATGTGAGCCAATTTCGATATCTCTCATAACATTGAAAAAAAAAATATAAAAGAAAATCTAAGTAACTAAAATTTACATTAACAATTTCTTAAAGTTTCCATGTACATCTAAGTAACCAAAATTATATATATTTAAAATTTTAGAAAAAAAGGTTGGTAAAATTATTTGTTAAGTATTATACTAGAATTAGTTGGAATTACATTTTTACATTTGAATATTTTTTTATGTAACATTAGTTATAATTTTAAAAAACGAAATATTATTTCTATTTTTAAAATATAAAAAACGTGATATATATTTTATTGATATAGGTTTGAATAAAAAGTTAAGAGCAGTGCACTATTTTAATCCAAAACGATTTTGACTTACGTCCCATGTGGTATGAATATAATAATAAAAGGGCAATTAAGACTTTTAATTCTTTTTTCTCAAACCGCTGAATCAAAACGCTAGGAAAAGCAGCGTTTTCCATTTTAGCGGATTGGGCCAAAAAAGCTAATTGAAAAAGCTGTTTACCAAACATATTTTTCAGTTGATTGTAAAAAGTCAAATAGCTAAAAAGTTGAAAAAGCTCTTTTAAGGCCAAAAAGCTATTAAACAAACACAGCCTATATGTATATATGGTTTGATAAGCCAAATAAGTTAGCTTATAGCTTATTTGGTTAGCTTATAAGCTCCTTGTATTCAAATAAGTCTCGTTTGGTAGGACAAGCTTTTCTAAAAAGCTCGAGCTTATCTCATAAGCTACTTTACGTAGCTTTTCAAATAAGCTAGTTGAATTTTTTATTTCAGCTAACTTATCAGCTAATTTTACCAAACACTTTTATCATATAAGCTAGCTTTTCAGCTATAAGTCATAAGCTATAAGCTATAAGCTATAAGCTAAAAAATTACAAATAAGCTATAAACTAGCTTATCAGCTAGTTTTACCAAACATAGTATATATCTAGTAGTACAATACATACTCGTGTACTATACGAGTACTTAAATATATTAATATTTATATATTAAAAATTAAAATAATTTACATTTTTATTGTGAAATATATAAGATGAATATGCAACAGTAATAAATAATTAATAACATGATAATTAATTCAAATGTTGCTCGTATTTTAACACTAAATTTGTCAAAAAAAGATAATTTTAATTATATTTTTAAAATTATATATGTATAAAACTGATATTATTTACAACTTCATGTTTGTGATTCATTTTTCTTAAAACAAAACAAGTTTTGTTGTATTGTGATTATATTTATATTCATAGAGTCAATGTCTCATGTTTATTAATTTTTCAAGTATTTTAAATTCATATAATTATTAATATAGAATTAACGTAGAAATGTATTATTTTTTAACTTTACGAACTACAAAATTATTTTATCATATTTAATTATGATAATAACATAATAACATTCAATTTTTTATATAATCTATTTAAATTGAAAAATAATATTTTATAATATTTCTTAAAATTTGTTTTATGTAATACTTAATTTTTATTGTTTTATCCAAAATTTATGAAAAAAATAATACATTAATTATTTTAAGGTGTATTAATTAATTATATTTTTATTAACTTTAAAAAATACTTTGTATTGTTATATGATGTTTTTTAAATGGAGTTGATAATAAAATTAATCATATTTATAAGTACAGATGAAATTATTTTTTATTTTATATATGCAATATGGATGTCAAATCAAAAATCGTTAAAATATGATTGTTTAGGTACATCATATATAAAAAATAAATTACAAATAAAAAAGTTATAAAGTTTTTAAAATAAAAGGAATACATATTATAATAATTAATATATGAACTAAATCAAAAAGGTAAGAGTAGTATATTGTAACTTAAGAAAAACGGAAAGTTCAAATAATTTATGGTAATTCTCAAGTATAATAGTCAAAATCAACATAAACATGTGTCAATACGCATCACCAATTTATGCCAAATAAGCTTACGAAACACACGAGCTTGCTACTTAGGCTCAGAGCATTCGGGACTATATATAGAGACGATATGTAATGTAACTAAATAGAAGGAATTTTATAAATAGACATATCAAGATTTTTTCCCAGATATTATTATTTTATTGGTTAATTGAAGATAAATCTCCAATCACAATATCGTTTTCTCAATCAGTCCCTCACTCTTTTTTTATTACACTCCCTACACTACATTCTCTTTCCTCTAAACCATCCCTATATATATTAATATTATTATTAATTATTTATTTTAGTTGAAAATCATAAAATTTGAAAAGAAGAAGAGAACTTGTCTATCGTCCCGACCAAATTCCAATTTCTGAAAGTCGTCCCCACCAATTTGGGGGCCCTCTTTTTCGCATGTTTCGATCGCCGCTCACTATCTCCCCAACAAGGTTAGGTCACCGATCGTCAGCGCCGGGCCCTAGCCTCCTGGGTTCGTCGGCCGTCGGTGAGTCTGGGTTCATGCTCCTCTTTGTCGTGTTCAAGGGTGTGGCTCGCTGCACTTTTGGACCCCCTTTCGAGTCCTCCGGCGTGGGTCATTTGTGGCTTTCCTGGCGACTCTCCACCTCCCTTGGCGTGGTTTATTTTCGGAGTCCATATCTGAATCGAGATTTGACTCTTCATCAGATATGTCTCAGCGGCGCGAGTGGCCACAGTTTTCAGTTTTGAGGTTCTGGTTTGTCGCTTTGTTGGATCTCTGTGCTGCTGGAAGTGGCTTGTATGCCGACTCGATTGGTCTGCGTTATGTCTGTTAGGTGTAGGAGAGGTTTTATTTTATTTGTACATTACGTGTGTGTTTTTTTTCTTTATTTTTAGGTTTATTAGTCCAACTTTGTCTGGTTCTAGTCTCCTTTATGGAGTTTAAGTCTCTTTTATAGAGTTTGTGTTTTGTGGTGTCGGTTGTCTCCTTAAGGAGTTGTACCCTTGAATTCGTCTAGAATTTCAAAAAAACTAATAGAAAAAATTATAAACAAGCACACCCTCAGAGTGAAATGAAATCAAGATGGTAAAAGAAATTAGTATGACCCTCTTAGTAAGAAGTGCAAATAAAGCCACACATAAAAAGGGAAATAAGGGATCGATAACTCTTAGGGCCTGTTTGGTTACAATTGGGTATGGGGCTTGATACTATCTAATTTATTCTACCCGGGCTATCCAAACGATGCAATCCACCCTATTGACCAGTTTGGTTCTTTTTTATGGGTTGTGTATAAAGTATTTTATAATTCTTAATTATCTTCTTTGTTGTGGCTAATAATTTTCTTTTTCTTTTTCTATTTCACACCCAGCTCCAAAATCACCGAATAAAAATCATAAAGCAACTTTTTTACAATGTCCATCCAATATTGATTGATGAACTCTTTCCAAAATTGATCTTCGCCCAAATAGGAGTTTTAATTCCTCAACCCAAATCTTCAATTATTATACTGATCTTCAAGAGAGTAAATCTGAGTCGCTCTCATAACCGCTCCGCGATGGCGTCGTATCAGGTTCGCTTTTTGTACAGACTCCGTAAAGGAGAATTTCCTAGTGAACAATTTTTGTGTACTTGACGTTGCTATTAGGCGAGCACACCCAGATTTTGTCCCAGTGGACCTAAAAAATCACCGGAGAACGGCGACCCTTTCGACTATCCTCCACCGGGCGTTGCCGGAGAACGTTACCTTTCCAGCGGACTCTTGGAACTTAAGAGTGACAATTGGGATTGCAGTACTTGGATGTAATTTAGGAAAATATGTGCAAAGATGGATTTCTCAAATCTAAATCGGAACTTGACAGCAACCATGGCAGTATTCATTGGGATTTATAATTTGGAACTTGAGAGCGGCCATGGGATTTCTCATATTTAATTTGGACTATTTTTGGTGTTTTAACTATTTTATTAAAGAAATGATACGGCATCCCACCAATTTTGTGGGATTGGTAATAGCAATTTTAGGGATATGGTCCGGGCCTAGCTCCATTTTCAGGGCCGAAAAGTACTCAACCAAACACCTTAATCTTGTTGATATAATACCAATTTGCATGATATAACTCCCAATACTGGCAACCAAACGCAGCCTTAAGGGAAATAAGGGGTTAATAACTCAGCATGAGACATGGTAACTCTTAAGGGATTAACAGAAAAACAGGGTAGGATTTTGAAGGTTTGGACAGGGACAGAGGACAGAAACAGAAATATGCAATCAAATGATCTGAGAAGAACAAAATGGCTTCTGGAAGCTTGTGTGGAGGAAAACTAGAAGGAAGCGGTGTGGAAGGTGGAGCTGGAAGAGACAAGAAGAAATCCTTAACAACAGAACCCTAGTAGGAGAAGTTGATAGAGACCTAGCTGAGAAGATGCTCTCCCTTGTTGATGGTTTTTCTTTTTGTTGTTATGCAACTTCTTTTGACTGTGTTTAGTGGATTGTGGTTGTTCGTAGCTTGGTTTGCTGTTTCATGGAGTGACTGTGTTACTCCAGTGCGTACCTATTCAACTAGCTTAGTTGGATTAAGTCTATATTGATTATGCATTATACATTATTTGAGTTTAATGTCAAGTTTATCGTTTGACCAAAAAATAAGAAAGAAAGAAAAAAAATTGAAATAAGAGTTTGTTCAAGAATGGCCTTGCCTAAAAGGAACCATCTCTATATATCATTCAATTGAAACCCTGAAGCAAAGCAAGAATTCCCATACCGCCATGGTATCCTAACTAATCTTACATCTTACTCCAACTAAATTTTCTTACCATTTGATCGAGAAACAAAAAATAACTCCATCATGTAAAAAAAAAATAAATAAATAAATAAATAAATTGAGAGTGATTCAAAGTATATTTGTATACGTGTATGATTTGAAAAGAAAAATTGTAACAAACAACAATAGAGAAAAACTATATGTATATCTTACTACCAGCCACTTTTGTTGTTAAAGATGATATAAAAAAGGCAGAAAGGAAGGAATGAAGAAAGAAAGAAAGAAAACTTGTTCAAATACTGATAACAAGCTTACTGTTTGCCAATTCTTAACTTGTAACTTTCCATTAAGCATTGAAAAGATCCATTATCGCGGCCTCTCATTCTTTTATTTTCTCACTCCGCCCTTTCTCTCTAAATCTTCCTCAAAGACCGATTTCGTTTGCGAAATAGGTTCGATGTAATTGACTCGATATGACACCTTGCGAAAGAAAGATCTCCTCCCAGGAAGCACCAAAAGTAGCCAAACCAAATATGGGCTTACAGAAAGGCTGCATTCCACTTCCTAATAAGAATTTTCTTGTGCCAGAGACGAAGGAGCAGATATGCTAGAGGCTATTGACCTCCCTTATCGCTAACTTGCCCCGCTAGACGCTAGGCTTGGGTTCGGCTAACTTTAGCTTCTTAACTCCAACTCGAACAAGGAAGCTCATCAAAGACAGATAACTCACACTGATAGGAGGTGGCGAGAGAAGGACGATGTCCACTCTTGGATCACCTTCCATTCTTATGTCTACATCGCTTCTCAATTACATCGACCCTCACATTGACCGGACAAAGGTTTCGAATGAGCATACATCCCACAGAGGCTATAATTGGAGATACCATTGTTTCTGGTACAGAAGTTCCTATAGAAAAGGAAGAGATTCATAAAATGGCAGAAGCAAATAGAGCTCTTGTACATTTGCGTTAATCCATGAACAGGATCTATACATCTCGATCGGAAAAGAATCAAGAGAGGTGGCATATCTTTGACATCTTACAATTGAGCGTATCCTCAGTAGTCTCAAACTTGACGAAGTTTCTGCCAAAAACCATACCAAACAGATAGAACCCAGATAAAATTGAAACATGCTTACAGTTCAATAAGGTGTGTTGCATCTCAAACGCGCAACCATCAATATGAAGCTTCCACAAGAAGAACAGAGATAGGAAAAACGAAACAGGAAGGGGAAAGCAAATATTCTTGTCTCTATTGTTTAGCTAGGAAGAATGAAAATGATTTGCAGTCTTCCATAGAAACATGTGATCGCAATTTCAGTTTTTTCTTTTTTTCTTTCCTTTTAAAAAAGAAGAAGATAAACATATAAGCATACATATATAAGTATATGTCCTTGTGTTTAATGTCCTTACAAGCTTTAATCGTCAATCATCATAAGAAATATGGGGTGCTGCCGTGCACCCAGGATCAAAGGGATTCTCAGACCCGCAACAATGCCAGTATTGGAATACTTTTCCAGATTCTGGAGTATCCATAGTACCACCTATGTAAACACTCTCGAATTTTCTCTTTGTTTCACCTGACAAACATAAAGATAAAAGGCAAATCACTGCATGTATATTAGGGATATACATATAAAGATAAGTATAATTCAAACAAAACGGCCACAACACCCATAAAAAGCCCATGGAGCAAAAGATTTAGCTACCACCAAGGGCTCAGCCAAGCTAAATCAATGAAATGATTACTCAAAACTCAAACAACACTTATGATAGCCCATGGATCAACAATAAGGCGAACATATAGAATAGATGCATCTTTTTCCACTACACAATTACGAGTTAGCGAATACACGCAAAAAAAGATAGCTATAAGAACCCTTATTCACAACCCAGCTGTGTTCATGATAACCTCATCAATTTAAGCTTTTGAACTAATTCACTAATTCATTAAAAAAATCAGAATTCCCCCGAGTCTAAGAATGTACCCAGCTTACATTTCTACAATAACAAGACCATCAAACAAAAGATGCAGACACAAACATGAAACAAGTCACATTGTGTTATTTCACTCAAGCAATGAAGCAGACAAAAAACAAAAATGGAAATAATTTTCAAATCACTCCGTTACCCCCAAAATGAGCAGGGTGATAGCAGCAAGCACGAGGATGATTGAGCGAAGGCTCGAACTGTGATTTGCAGTTCTTACATGTCCGCAGAGTTCGAATTTGATTCTGGGAACACTCGATTGATAATTTCCGTTTTCTCGAATGAAAGCCTTGCGATTGAAGAAGGCGAGAAACAGTCTCCGTATGTCGGCAAATTAGGAAAGAAAAAGGCATTTTCATGGATGAATTTGCCAGTAGAGTCTGGGCAGCCATGTTACCAAGAATTTTTGGGAACAGATAAGCACGACAGCGAGTGTTCAATGCACTAAAAAAATGAAGTCGGTATCATTATTCAAAACAATGTCTTCATAATCTATATATCTATACTTATATAATAAGAATTAACATTTATCCAAATAGTAGGTCAAATTATAGTCAAGGATTTGCATTAAATATTTTTCCTAAGTTTTTGTCATTTTCACACTTCTCATTAATTATGTCATTTTCACACATCTAATTAATTCATTAATTACGACATAATTATCATAAATCATTCCATCTGAGCTTTTATCGTTAAAATGTATAGCGATTTGTTATGACCTTATCCCATCGCGTTCTATTTTTTTGGTAACCACTCTATATCAATAACCGGATATTTGGTTAATGATAGTACACCTCTTTTGAAAAAGAGCGGATATTCTTTCACCTTTAATTAATCTGAACTGATTGCTTTGACTTTTCAATTTTTAAAAACTCTTTTTTTAAATATTCTGACTTAAGATTCGGATTTCATTATACAAGTCATCGGATTGTTTGAATGAAAATGAATGAAAAGAACACCAAAAACAGGTAATCTTATTCATATAACCAATCCTAAAATATTAGTTTGTTCACAAAAAAGAGACAAATCCTAGAAATCCTAAAATATTAGTTTGTTCACCAAAAATATTAGTTTGATTTTTACGATTTGTCTCTTTTAAAAATATTAGTTTGTGATAATGAGGAGTTACCAAATAATCAAACTCATAATGTTGTGTACAAGGAGGTTTTTAATAATATATGATTGTTACCGAACTTTTTATGATTCAACAATATTCCTATGTATTTTAATGATTTCAATTTCGATCCTAATGCACGTGAAGTTATATTATTCTTCCAAATTTTACATCCCGTGCATCGCACGGGTTACGTACTAGTCTATATAAAAAGATTTATTATTTATCAAATTTAGTATGACAAAAAGTCAAACAATATTTATTACTTTCTATTTTCAGCAATTTTTTATTTTCTTAATTCCTTACCAAAAATTCGGACTACATAAATGATTTAATTCTACATTCATCCATAGTTTTTAAACCCGGCCCGGTAATCGACTCGGGCAGGTCACCGGGTCACCGGGTCACCGGTTCAACCGTCGGGTCACCGGGTCAATTGCTGAACCGGATAATTAATTTTAAAATTTTTAAAATTATATATAGAGTATTTTTGTCATATAAATATACATAAAAATAACAAAATTAAATATTTTGTGTATAAAATTTGTACATTAAAGTATTAATAATATGTATCTCATGATAAATATTTACCATATAAACATATATACATAGTTTTATTTTTAAAAAATAAAAAATATAAAAAAATGTACATGGACCGGGTCAACCGGGTTGACCAGGCTGGGTCAATGTCCAGGGTCAAGACCGGGTCGGCCGGGTTTTGACTGGGTTTGACCGGGTCCTTTGTTGCCCGGTCCAAATATCCCACCCGGACCGATTCCGGCTCCGGGTAGACCGGGTCTCGGGTTGACCCACCGGGCCGGTCCGGGTTACAAAACAGTGCATTCATCCATTTATTAATTTTCTTTTTAACTAATTGCTAGAAAATCGGTCACCATAAATGCATAGTTCCTTATCACTTTATTTTGGAAAAATCTTATTGCATAGAAATTGTGTTCTCATTTCAAATTTAAAATTTAAAATTTTTTATGCATTATTTAGTTGCCTTAAAATCGGGTTGAACAAAAATTTGGAATTAGGCAAAATACAATAACATCTTTTTATATAAATCAAAAATTAAATATATATTTATAATTTATAATTTTGTCGAATTCAAAATTCCGTCTCATTATTTATACTTATTATTCACATCGGGTTTTAAATATATGATAAAATTTTACCAAAATAATTATTTATTTATTTTTTCCCAATAACCGAATACTTTTGTCACACTCTTCGAATAGGAATCCGTCTTCTGAAAGATCCTGGCTAATGTCTAAACTCAATGATTTCAAATTCTGTCAAAACCAAAATCATCCTCCTCAAAAATACTCTTCATCTGCAAAATACGGGTGAACCATGCACTTCGCCATAGATACAGTAATAAAAGCTACATAGGAGTTTGTCACTAGGAGTGACTTGGACAAAAAGAAAGGAAGTGGCTTTAGAATCACGTTATAGTCAAATCGAATTTCTGAATAAAATTTTGAAATGACACATATTTTGAAATGAATATAATGTAATTTATTATCAGTTATGTACAACGCACGGAATGTGTACTAATTTTAGATAGACAATTTTATGTAATTTTGTACAATTTTAATTTTATATGACATTTTTAATAAATTATATAGGTACATTGTTTCATATTGATTCCATGTTCAAATTTATAAATATTATTTAATATAATTTTTAATTTATAAATATTAATTTTAATCGCTTACCCGTGCATCGCACGGGATTCGTAATAGTTTTATCTCCAATGGTGGTTGAATATTTTGTGATGTGGCATGACTATTGTGAAGCTTTAAAGGCAAACAGTGTATTCAACATGAAACGTGGGTATGTATCTCATACATGAAAATAACACAATTTATGTTTTAAAAATTAAGTCATGTTGTATTTACTTGATACATAAAAATATCAAAAGATTTATATTTTAAAAATTAAACCATTTTGTATTTACATATTTACATGATACATGCACATAAAAATAAAATTGAATGTAATTACAATATTTATATTTTAAAAATTAAACTACGTGTCAAAATTTGTATTTACTTGATACACACAAATAACACGATTTTTATATTTTAAAAATTAAACCATTTTCTATTTACTTGATACATAAAAATAACAGAATTTTTATATTTCAAAAATTAAACCATCTTGTATTTACTCGATACATGTACATAAAAATAACATTGAATGTAATTACATTTTTTATATTTTAAAAATTAAACCACGTTAACGTATCAAAATTTGTATTTACTTGATACAAAAAAAATAACATGGTTTTTGTATTTTAAAAATTAAACCATTTTGTATTTACTTGATACATAAAAACAACACAATTTTTATATTTCAAAAATTAAACTATTTTGTATTTACTCACATATAGATAAAAATAACATTGAATGTAATTACAATTTTTATATTTTAAAATTAAACTACGTTGTATTACTTAATCATTTTTTTTACGTAATTATTTTTTTCTTTCCAAAATTTATTCCTAATTAATACATGTACACATCCAAGGAAAGTAAAGCATTGGAGATAGTTTTATACAGTTATTTTATCGGTGTCAACATTGATGTTATAAAAAATCACAATCCAATCAATTACTGCCATGTGGCATGGACATTATAACATTGACACCCATACACTGGAGATGCTCTTCGAGCATCTCCAATGGAACATTGTCCATTTTGTGTTAAATGACATGGATAAAGGAAATAAAAAAAATTATGTCTCCAATAGTTAGGGTGAATTGTGGTGTCATTTGTGACGTGTAAAAGTATAATTGGGTGAAGAAGAGAAAAAAAATGAATAAACAATATATAATAAATACTGTAAGTATTCTAGAATGACTTCTACATCAAGAAGTCCTTCTAGACATTTTCCATGTCGTATAGGATTGTTTGTGCCATGTGGCAATAAAATAACACAATAGAATGACCATTGGAGATGCTCTTAGAATTTGGGGGCTTTTTTTTATAATTATCTATATAATTTATGGAAATTGGAGAGAGAAATAGAAGAAGATTAGAGGAAGAGGAAGAATTGAGGTGGAATAGAGATGGGAGAGACGAGATTGCAGCTGATGTAAAGTATAGTTTTTATTTGGTTTATTTTTTAATTATAGTTAATTTTGAAAAACATTGTATAGTAAGTTGTTAGTGGATATATTATAATAATATTTAAATAAAATAATTTAAGTTGATTTGATGTAAAGTAGAAGAAAAACAATTATAAGTAATGGTTAGTTAAAAATTATGTGAGTGGATGAATAGTGAATTAAAGTTGATGTGATGTGTAAGAATGATTGATTGATATTATTTAATTACATTGATAATATTGAAGATAGTGTGGTTGGATTAAAGTTAGTTAAATTTGAGTTTTGATTGTTTTTTCATTATCATGCATATTTAAACTTTAGTTGGAACCACATGCACGCTAAGTCTTGGGCTCGGTTCTTAAGAAATTTATCTCAAGTACAACGAATTTTGATATGGAAGAACCGTACCAGGTCTATTTGTTTTGGATTTTGATATAGGAGAACCGAACCACAAATACTCACTCCGCTTAAACATCTTTTGAAGTAGCGCATAGCGACCGTGAAGTAGTAAAAATTTGTTTCCGGATGATCCAGTCGTACGGGTTCACTCAATGTCCGGATGAGCACTGTGTTTACAAGAAAATCAGTGGGAGCGTGGTGGTGTTTCTTGTGCTTTACGTAGATGACATACTGCTTATTGGAAACGGTAAGTAGGAGTTATCAGACGTAAAGGTGTGGTTGTCTAAGCAGTTTGATATGAAGGACTTAGGTGAAGCAGGACACATTCTTGGTATTTGGCCCCAGTCTTCATACATAGATACTGTCTTAGCCAGATTCAGCATGCAGGATTCCAAGAAAGGTATGTTACCTTTCAGACATGGAATACCTCTATCTAAGGAGATGTCTCCTAAGACGTCTAAGGAGATAGAGGAGATTAAGGCAGTTCTTTATGCTTCGGCAGTAGGAAATCTCATGTATGCAATGCTGTGCACTAGGCCGGATATTAGCTACGCCGTTGGCATGGTAGCAAAATATCAAAGTAATCCGGGACGGGAGCATTGGTCTGCGGTGAAGCATATACTCAAGTACCTGAGAAGGACTAAGGAGTACATGTTAGTTTACCGTGCAGGCAGTTTGTTACCTCTGGGTAATAGTGATTCCAATTTCCAGTCAGATAGGGATGAAAGTAAGTCAACCTCAGGTTATGTGTTTACCTTGGGAATGTTGGGATCTGTGAGGATCTCGTTATGTACAAGTCACGAATTCAATAGCAAACGTAAACCTATGCGCAGCG